CAGAGCTCTCCCAGCAACCAACCCATTGCTATCAGCAACATTCCGTACAGCAAGACAATCCTAGAACGTTGCCTGGTCGAGTCCCTCGAAGAATACAACGACACTACACAAAACTGGATAGCAGCCGCTCGCGAAAAGGCCGAACGCTGTCCTGCCCTCTCTGCCGCTGACCTGGTTGAGCTTGGAAAAGAAGCTGGCTTACGAGTCGAGCTCAGCTGGGCCCGCCAACGATCTCAGAGCGGCGCTGTCGATGCAGTGTTCCACAACTACCAATCACGACATGATGGAGGCCGTGTGCTCATCCAATTTCCTGCCGATGACGACAATCAAGTGCCGAACTCACGCACAAATCGGCCGCTCCAAGGACTACAGAGTCGTCGGATTGAAGCGCAAGTTCGGGACCGTCTACAGATCTCACTACCTGGCTATATGGTGCCAAGCCGCATCGTGGTGCTGGACCAGATGCCATTCAATTCTAATCGTAAGGTGGACAGAAAGGAGCTCGCCAAGAGAGCTAAGACAGTGACCAAGAGCAGGCTATCTCGGGAGCGCGTGACCCCACGCAACGAGATGGAAAGCGTGCTCTGTGAGGAGTTTACTAACGTTTTAGGAGTGGCGGTCAGCGTCACGGAAAATTTCTTTGAGCTTGGTGGACATTCCCTCATGGCGACGAAGCTTGCATCGAGTCTCGGCCGGCGCTTGAATACCAGCCTGTCTGTGAGAGATATTTTCAGCAATCCTGTCCTCGCCGATCTTGCCTCGGAGCTATCTCTCAAGCTGGGAGCGAATGGAGAGGCGGAAGCATCCGCTTCGGTACAAGCAGACAGCGCTCCCTTCGAGCTCCTTCAGGTGGGCGACCGCTCGGACTTCGTGCAGAATGAGATCACTCCACAACTGGGAGATCGTTCGGCCAAGGTTCTTGACGTCTACCCCCCTACGCAAGTTCAGAAACGGTTCTTGCATGATCCAACAACAGGAAATCCACGAGTCCCTCCGGTCTTTATCATCGACTTCCCTTCCGATACGGATTGCGAGAGGTTAGCCAGCAGCTGTGGGGCCCTAGTGCAGCATTTCGACATCTTCCGCACTACTTTCGTATCCGTCAAAGGCACGCTGCATCAAGTGGTTCTAGAAAACCTTGCTGTCCCGATCGAGGTAATTGAAACGGATAGCGACATCACAAGTGCGACCCGCTCGGTAGTGGACATGGATCTCAAACAACCCCTCCGCCTTGGACAATCATTACTTCGCATCGCCATTCTCAAGCGACAACCATCAACGGTGCGAGTAATACTTCGGATGTCACACGCTTTGTACGATGGCTTGAGCTTCGAGCACATTGTACTCTCCCTACATGCCCTCCACAACGGCAACACACTTACAACGCCGTCAAGATTCGCCAGATACATCCAGCACATGGTACAAAGCCGTGCACTCGGCTATAACTACTGGGGCTCCGTCCTACAACACTCCTCAATGAGCGTCATCCCAGACGTGCGACGCAATCTCGAAAACGCGCCCAGACTCAGCGGAACCTACATCGTGGAGAAGACCATCCCATCGCCCTTCCTAGCTAGATACAAAATCACGCCAGCCACAGTCTTCACAACAGCTTGTGCCATCATGCTAGCAAAGGAAACCGGATCCACCGACCTCCTCTTCGGCCGCGTTGTATCCGGACGGCAGAACCTGCCGAGCACGTCGCAGAACATCGTCGGCCCTTGCACCAACGAAGTCCCTGTACGGGTCCTCATCGACGAGAATGCCACGCTAGGAGATGTCCTTCAGAACGTCCAATCACAGTACGTCGACAGCCTGCCCTTCGAAACCCTAGGCTTCGACGATCTGAAGGGCAACTGCACAGACTGGCCCGCTTCAACAACAGATTTCGGCGCCTGCACCACATTCCAAAACTACGAGATGCGACCTCAAAGCCAGATTCATGGCCAAAGCATCCGACTTGATGGGTTTTCGCGCCATGATGACGAGGAGGAAGCTAAGGAGGGCGCCGATGGCTTGACGAGGATGGTGTTGCGCGAGTCGCCGCTGCATAGTGTGGAGATTACGGGTATTCCGGAGGCGGAGAGCTCTAGGTTGAGGGTCATTGTGAATGGGAATTTGGGGAGGTTTGAGGAGAAGACGGTGGAGCGGATTTTGGAGGAGCTTTGTAGGGCGTTGGCGCTTTTGACGGGGAGTGAGCGGGTGTTGATGGGTGATGCGCTTGCGAAGTTTTGAGAGAGAGGTTGGGTGGGGAGGCGATGACTTTCATTTGTTGGGGGTTTTATATAGCGTCCGGAAAGTTTCGAGCTAGAGACTAGGCAGTTGAGATTATCGCTTTTGTTAACTGGTGCTCTTATACAGCGCATGTATGTCAGAGTTATCTAGTCTAAAAAGTTCGCCTTTGTAGATTACAACCTTCTTTTGCGTGTGGATGAAGTTAGTTTTAAGGGTCGATTAGCGGCTTAATTGCTATTCTCTTCTAGTACTTTGTTTGCTAGTCTCTAGTTTTTATAACTGCCTTGATTCTTTTTAACGTTAAATTAATTAGCGTCTTTATAAGATCTTAGAGTACAGCTCGCTAAGCTTCCTTAGCAGCCTTAATAAAAGCCTCTCTATTAGCTTCCTCTAGTCTCTATCTCTCTAACTTAGGGTGTAATTTATAGATTTTCTTCTTAAGTGCCTACTAAAGGTGTTTAATTACATTAAGGTTAGGCAAGTAGAGTAGCTACTAAAGCACGTTAATGTCTATAGCATTTAGCTATAGAGTAGTGTTGTAGGCAGTGTGTATTAGTGCGTTGTCTATCTAATAGAGAGTGTCTTTAGCTAAGATAAGCAGAAGACCTTCTTCTAAAGTCTAGATGTACAGGTGTACGCTGTAACTATTCTGTGTAGTTTATAGATCTCTCTCTATTGCAACAAGTTTAGATTAGCTGTTATACTAGAAGCAGCTTTAGAACATTTGCGCTATGTCTTTACTTATATCTACCTTCTTAATTATCTTATAATCCTACTTCTATGTTAACATACAAAAGACTTATACTTGCTTGTAGCTCTTTCCTCTCTCTGCTAACACCTTATTAGAATAGGTTACTGTTTTAAAATTAAAATGTTTTTTTACTCTTACTTATCTAAGTTTTATTCTAGCATGTATAGAAGTAAGCTTTAGTTACTTCTTGTAATCTAGTTTATAATATAGTTCTTTTTAAGTAACGTACACTACAGGCAAGTTTATTACACACCTAAGTTGCTTACTTTTACTAAGACTTTACTAAACTACCTTTCTTACACTAATGTATTCTTAACAACACTACTTAAACGCTTTAAAAAATATTAGATATAGCTTATACTTTAGGCTTTTAAATAAAACATAACACTTTTAAAGTAACATGCTATAGCTATATACAAAGTTTCTTAAAAAATAATAAATAACTAACACACTAGACAACCTTTACAAGCTAATTCTATAGCTAACTTACAAAGGCTAGTGTAACGATCCTCATGAATCGTTCCATCTCGAGTCGCCCGGAACCTCCGGAAGGCCCTCGTATCGGCCCCGACCTCGACCTGGCCCCGACCCCTGCTGTTACCCCTATTCCCTCATGTATTTAGTCGCACCTCGCCCCTGTAGCTAGCTCGGTAGTTTTCTGATATCCTTTTGTACAAGGCCTATAGGTGTTAATGGCATTCCCAGGTTCAGAGTCCCCACGCACTCCCATATGCCCCTAAGTGGACTCCCACCGCATTCGGACCCATTGTCTTGCCTGCGCCGTTACAGCTAGGTAATAATAAAAAGTAAGTAATTAGTAAGCACATACTTAAGCTATATGCATAAGAATTTTCCTCTTAGCTAGCTGCTATAGCTAATATAACTAATTCTTTACACGCTAAGCATAATCTAGGCTATGTTAGCATAAACTAGCCTAGTATGTTTATAAAGCATTATCTAGAGCTTAAAGTAAAGTTTAAGTGTAAGTATAACTATAAAAAATACTTTTTATAAGAATCTTTAAGTAACTTAAAGCTAGTTTTGTAATAAGGTAGGCGCTCCGCCTGCTAAGCCGATACTATACAACTTTCTCTACTGTACTAAAAGGTACGCACGAGAATACTTAAGCTAAGTATTCTCGCATAGTATAATATATATATAGGTAATGCTAGGGTAAGCACTAGCACTAGCGGTTGTCTCTAGCCTAGCCTAAACCTCTATAAGCGAGAGAAGGCCACATAGTTAACTGTACCAACCTTGTTACAAGTTTAGCCTTGTAAAGAATATTAAAGCTAAGTATAGCATCTAGAATAACAACATGTACAACTTTAACAAGACAGGCTTTATAATAGGCTAGATATCTACTAATTATACTTATGCTTAAAACTTTACTTTAAGGCCTAGATAACACTTTATAAATGTGCTAAGCTAGTTTATGCTAACATAGCCTAAATTACGCTTAGCGCGTAAAGAATTAGCTATATTAGCTATAGCTACTAACTAAGAGAAATGTAATAAGGTAGGCGCCCTGCCTGCCAAGCTAATACTATACAACTTTCCCTACTGTACTAAAAGGTACGCATGAGAATACTTAAGCTAAGGATTCTTGCATAGTATAATATATATATAGATAATGCTAGAGCTAGCACTAGCTCTAGCAGTTGTCTCTAGTCTAGTCTAAACCTCTATAAGCAAGAGAAGGCCATGTGGTTAACTATGCCTACCTTGTTACAGGGAAAATCCTTGCGCATATAGCTTAACTATGTGCTTAATAATTACTTACTTCTTATTATTACCTAGCCTTTATAAGTTAGCTGTATAATTAGCTTGTAAAAGTTGTCTAGAATGTTAGTTATCTATTATTTTTTAAAAGACTCTATACATAGCTATAGCATACTGCTTTAAAAGTGTTGCGTTTTATTTAAAAGCCTAGAGTGTAAGCTATATCTAACATTCTTTTAGCATATTTAAATAGTATTGTTAGAAATGTATTAGTGTAGAAGAAGTAGTTTAGTAGGGTTTTAGCAAAAGTAATTAACTTAGATGTGTAAGCAACTCGCCTGTAGTGTACGTTTGTCAGATTAAAGCACTGTTTCTAGGCTTCCTAAGATGAATGATGGGTTTGGATATAATGTATAGGATGATTGATTGATTGTATTGATTGTGTTGATTTATCGATCCTTTTTCTGCTCTACTTGTGTTGCTCGGCTTTTTGTTCTGCCGATCCGAGTCCCTCGCGCACTAGCCCTATGCGCGACCAGCTTGCAACATGCTGCAATTTGCTGCAACATGCTGTAAAATGCTGCAATTTGCTGCAACATGCTGTAAAATGCTGCAATTTGCTGCAACATGCTGCAAAATGCTGCAAAATGCAGCAATTTGCAGCAACATACTGTTCGAGCTTATTGCTCGTACTATGTAGCAGCTTTCGTCAAACGTTCCTCCTGTCTTGACAGTAGGTGCGCATATCTGACAACGTTAAGTAATAGAGAGTCCTCTAGCTAACACGCACCTCTACTACCTTAGCCTTTTACTATGCATACTTAATTTATAGATGCTAGTAAGCAATTTAAACAAGTAATTTTTCTTAATAGTAAGTTAGCTTTCTAGGCTAGCTAGAACACAGCAAAGATTTAATAGTTTAGCAGTTGCTTTGTTAATTAATTATGTTATAAATTGTCTAACGCGTATATTAAAATTACAGCGCGATAGAGGTCTTTAATTCCTCTACCTTAACTGTAGATAAAATCCTAGCTCTTTATAATTTACTTAATTTGTTATTTCTACCTTAGTTACTACTAATTGCTCCGCTAAATTCGCATTGCATAGTTGGTGGTTAGTGTTTAAAAAGGTTAGAGTTTAGTAGTTAGTGTGCTAACAAGTGTGTACAGTTCGTTTATACACGCTAAAAACTCGCTTAAGCAGCTAAGCGTTAGAAATTAAAAGTAGAAAGTGTTGTGTTAGCTTTTAACTTTTTTATATCTAGCTTAACTTTTTTATATCTAGCTTAACTTTTTTATGTCTAGCTTAACTTTTATATATGTAAGGTTAAATTTTAGCTATAAAGCTAGTATATAAAAGGTAATTGTAACGATTGTCATGAATCGTTCCATCTCGGGTCGCCCGGAACCTATCCGAAGGGTCCCCGTATCGGCTCCGACCCTGACTCGACCTGGCCCCGACTCTGCCCTGCCCTCTGCTGTACCCCTATTCCTTCATGTATTTAGTCGCACCTTGCCCCCGTAGCTAGCTCAGTAGTTTTCTTATATCCTTCGTACAAGGCCTATAGGTGTCAATGGAGATCCCAGGTCATTAAGTCCCCACGCACTCCCATATGCCTCTGAGTGGATTCCTACCGCATTCGGACCCATTGTCTTGCCTGTGGCGTTACAGTAATAGCTCTACAATAGAAAGCAGGAGATACAAACAGCAGTGTAAATATATTTTAATTATAAATTAAGAGCATATCTAGCGCATTCTAGAATATAATTACAATTAAGCCTTCTTATATCTAAAAACTTAATAATTTGTATCTGTAATATCTCTAAATACTATACCTTCTTCTATGCCTTCTTTTATAGAAGTTATCTAGTAATACTACTACCTATTTAAGCAAGCTTAAACTCTAGTTAATAATCTTACTATTAATACATAGAACCTTATTATTAAAGATAAAAACAAGGCTTTTACTAAAAATTGTAGCTATTTTTTACTAAAGGTTAAGCCTATAAATGTAACAACACAGGCAAGACAATGGGTCCGAATGCGGTAGGAATCCACTTAGAGGCATATAGGAGTGCGTAGGGACTTAATAACCTAGGAATCTCATTAGCACTTATAGGCCTTGTATAAAGGATATTAGAAAATTACTAAGCTAGCTACAGAGAAGAGGTGCAACTAAATACATAAGGGAATAGAGGTAACAGCAGGGGTTAGAGCTAGGTTAGGGTTAGAGCTAATACAGGGGCCTTCTAGGCCATCTAAGATAGAACAATTTATAAGGATTGTTACACTACCCTCTTCTCTATAGACTAATAATTCTTATTAGTAGGTAGAAGTACTACTGTTATGTTCTTTGCCTTCTTAAAAACTAAAAACTAGTCTAATTTAGCTAGGTGTTCTTGCTAAGTATTCCTTTGCACTGCTAGCAGTGTCCTCTAAACTAAACGCTATGTGTGCGCGCCTGCTCTAATATTAATCTATATAGATGTCTAGCTAATTATTTCTTACTATCTATACAGTTATTAAT